TGTGGGTCGTTTTAATTGACACATAGCTGTGATGCAACCCAGCCCACTGTCATGCCAACCTCAAGTGAAAGATAAAAAAAAATCCTACCATCTCTGCTTCCTGAGCTCAGGAAAGCAAAGAAATCGGGCTCACTGTCCCTACCATGTGCATGGTCATGCATGCTTGGCTACACTGAGGGCACACAGCCCAACCCAAACAGCCCAACGCCAACACACACAGCCCAACACCAACACACACAGCCCAACACACACAGCCCAACACCAACACACACAGCCCATCATGGACAGCCCAACACCAACACACACAGCCCAACACAGACAGCGTGAGCCCTTGTCAGGCAAATGGCTGCCTCCGGCAGAGGGAGGGCAAAAGCCAAGTCCCAGACCTGCTGCATAACAGGAATGGATCAAGACGTGTATAAACCAGCATATTTGTTCTGCGCAGCTCTACAAAGCCATTGAGTGAGCAGGGAGGGAGCAAAGAAAATGGCTGTGATTAACTACAGCTCTACTGGTTTCAGCCTGGCTGCTTTAATAAGGCGTCTTTCCCCAGTTTTATGCAGGATTGTACACAGGAGGCCTCTTGACCAGCCGGAGTCTTAAGTTCTCAGTAACTCCTGCAGCTGCCAACTAGTACTTGTGTTTTAGCTTGCCCAGGAGAGACCTTTATTGGTATTTAAAACACCTCACTCTCTTCCAGACTCTTTTTTTTTTTAAATTTTCTATAGATACAACAGGGAATAGAAGGTGAAACAGGCATTAATTTGGCATTAAGCACCAAAACCTGAGCTCAGCCTGCATAGATGGCTGGGCAGATGTGCCAGGGCCAAGTGTTCCCCCGGGAGTGTGTGCCACCTGCCCTTTGGCGCAGACGGGCACCGGAGCAGAGGCAGAGCTGGCGCAGCGGCCAGCAGCTCGCCCTCACGCCTTCCCTCCTCCTTGCCGGCCCTGCAGCCGGGTGCCAGCACCGAGCGGGTCCTCTCCCAGGGCCACCCTGTGCATCTGCAGGGCCTCTGCCGCAGCATGGGGCCATCAGGGCAGGACCACAAGACAAGTGCCAGCCTCTCACCAGGGGCTCCCTCCTGCTCCCAGACGGGTGTAAATCAGGGGTTACCCTGCTGCAGGCAGTGGAATAGCTCCTGATTTACAACATCCTACATAAGAGGAGAACTTGACCTTACACTTCAACATCAGTGCAGCTTCCTTTGTTGAAAGCTTCTTAAGCAAGACGTGTAATCAATCCTGGAAAGCCACTGAGCAGCAGAGCTCAGGTTCTGCATAAGTCAGGGCTAGGCTTCCCAGGGAAACTGCCTGATCCAGGCTCTCGGGACATCTATTCTTAGGCGCTCCCCGCGTGCTTTCTGATAGGAATGTGTGTGTTTTTCTGTTTTGGCTTTGTAAAAATGGGCTGCTTTAGATTAATACAATCCACAAGGAGAATTTTTCCGTAGTAAGTCTGACTTACCTATGCTACTAACCTTTTAGACAGACAGGCTTTCAGGTCTTTGGAAATTCTGGCCTTTATAGGCATTTGATGTTATTTTAGAATCCAAGAGGAAAAAGCTTACTGCCTTGCCTCTGTTTTCATGGCCGTAATTATGAGGGCAGTCTGGTGACGTAACTTGTTTGGGAAATAAATGATAGCTTTCAACAGCGAGTGCTGTCAGACACGTCGTTCCTTGTAACTATTTTAGAAATCCAAATTCATTTTGCACTTCCACAGCACCAGATGCTGCTCTTATTTACGCTTGTGTAAGTCCCGCGCTACACCACTGCCTTCAGGAGACTCACTCTGTGTTTACACCGCCTGCAAGGCAGCAGAATTTGGCTTGTGGCGTCAGTCTACGTATGCCTTGTGGTGTGATCTGCTCGTCCAGTAAACGCAATGGGAGAATTGTGCAGATGTATTTAGTCTTGCTCCCTCATTGCTTGTAACTATTCACCTCAGCGATACGGCCCATGAAAGCAAAGGCAGGATCAGGCATTTTCACACTTTAAACAGAGGGAAGAAAAGGGGAAGGCAAAGCTAAGACAAAGGTATTCTTTTGCAGAACAAAACAGACAATTTAGTGTGATAGAGGCATTACCTGTTACAGCCTGACACCAACCAGACCGGCAGTGCTAGCGCTCCCATTGCTGAAACGTTATCCCGTGGTCGTTGTCCCTGCCCCCTGCACATCCCTGTGCGTTGTGCTCCCACCGGAGCTGCTGCAGTCCTCGGGGAGAGGCGGCAGCCCAGCTCCTGGGCTGCAACCCAAGCAGAGCACCGGCCATTGCGGTTATGTGCCAATCCCCCGAAAGTTACGTTTTCAGAATCAGCAGTACTAATAATAGTACTTAGTCCTGTTCTCCCGAGCTTGACTCCTCAAGGCACCTCTGTGGCAAGGAAGGATCATCATTCCCTCTTGAGTTGTGAGGAGCTGGGGTACAGAGGGGTGAAAAGCTCTACCAGCTCGAGAGTGAGACAAAAAAACAGAGTGAAAACAAGTGGGTACACAACTTAGGTACAAGCTAAACTGTTTTCTATAAATGCTTTGGGAAACAGTTGGCTTTTGAAGACGTCCCCCCCTCCGGTGTTTGCAACCCAAATCCTGCAGAACTGAAAAGCTGAAAGGTGCTTTGACACAAGCAACATGAAGAATGAAAAGAGGGCATTTTGTTATGTTTATTAATAGCCTAAAGAAGAACGTGCGGGCAGTAGCTGTCCCTGCCACCTGCGACTGCCATGCTGCTGTCCGGGGGGGTCAGGCGCACCGCAACGCCGCTGAAACCGCGCCAGCCCTCGCAGCCAAACAAACTCACCTCTGTCCTCGCCACAGACGGGCTCGCAGGCTTTTCTCCCCCTCTCCGCTGTCTGGAGGCGAGTTGGCGTTTCTGCCTCATTCAGACACTTGCCGAGTTTTACAGCCTGTTTTGGGCAATGGTTTGGCGGGGCCCATTTCCTTTTGCTGGAAAAACTGGCTGCTTTCCTCCTCGCCCTGGTTTCAGGCAAGTACATCCCACTCTCGAGGTCAAGCCCATTCCCCATGGAGCCCCTTGCACCGTGAGGACCCACCTGTGCCGTCACAAAGCCACACACATCTCTGAGAAGGCTGGGGGTGGTTGTGCTCGGGAGGGGTCTCCTGCCCACCTGAGCACCAGCAGCAGTGCTTGTACCCGGCTGCTTTAAACCCTGACCATCCCCCCTCATTTTTGACTTCAGGAGCTGGTTTCGGGCTCTGGAAGAGGCTTCTAGAAGGACCCATTCCAGGGTGGGTACAACCTTGCCAAACGCCTTCCTGCAGCATGGACCAGTTTGAGGGAGATCCTCCCCCAGAGGTCTCCTCAGGCTTGCTGTGCCCACGGCGTGCCCAGGGCAGCACCGACGTCTTCTCCACCAGCCCTAGGATGCCAGGGTGGTGCCTGGCTCTGTTTAAATGAGGCAATTTTAGCTACAGATTCTAGTTGTGCATTTATTTAAGATTGCTAAAATTTTCCTGTTCTTTCCTACCCCTCCTCCTGGCCTCACCGCTCCTGTGCCAGAGGAGTGCCGTGCCGTACCCGCCGCTGAAGGAGTGAGGTGGGGCCCTGACGCAGCCCCCCGGCCTCCTCACCGCCTGACGCTGTGCACAGCTTCATCTCCTGATGGGGCATTTAGGAACGAGAACGGTCACTTAAACAAACATGGTGCTATGCAAAGAAAAAAAACCAACAAAACCAGCAGAGATTAATTTCACGTTCACCTATAATTACACTGGAAAAGGAGAAGCGGGCCTAGGAAATCCCATCTTAAAATAAAATTAAAGCCTGCTTCAATTCTTTGTCTAGCCCATTTCTTCTACTAACAGCACCCGCGCATTTCTACGAGTTATTAGATTGATGTTGTAGCATCCTGGACAAATCAAATTAATTCAAGTATCTGCAGGTACGAAATGTTGTAGCTGAGAAATGAGCACATAAAGTATATGCAATTTTCCCCTGGCAGTTTATTATGGTATGAAGAAAAAAACATTCTGTGCTTGAAGCTGACGTTATATTACAAATGTATTGCGAAGTATGACGTGGCTATTAAAATATGATTACACAAAGTATGAACATTTTAAGAAGTTTACAGTACAGTGAATCTTTTATAAACAGACTCTTAAATATACATAGGACAATAGTAGCTGACAGAAAAACATCAAAAATTAACTATTAATGTTTATAGACTTTTCCCCTGAAAAAAGTCTCACATTAAAACAGAAATTATGAAAAGCCTTAAAACCAGGAACAAATCACCTGTACACTACAAATATACATGGCAGAGGTGCGCAAACCAGAGCTACCTGTCCGCCGACGGGCACAGTCGCCGGGGAGGCCTGGCAGTGCCTGCCCAGCGCCTCCTCCCCGACGCGACCCGCTGCAGCCGGCGCGGTGCCGGCGATGCCCAGGCACACCCGCATGCCCGTCACCAGCACGCACACATGGCAGATGATGGGCAGCGCGTTGGCGGTGTCGCATCGACCTCCTGGAGTGTATCGAGTCGAGAACGCGCCCGGGATCTTGGAAACGGATCCCTGCGGGCAGGTCCTCGAACGCACGGATGGGACCTACATACCAGAACCGGCCCGTGAGACCAAGCTACGTGGGAATCAGCAGCTCCTTTCATGGATTTTGGGTTTTTTTAATGCCACTTTTCAATCTTTCCTCTTGATATGGGAGAACAGATGCCACATCTTATTTCTGCTTAGTCTGGCTGCAATGACACCCCTAGTTCATGTGTTAAGTTATGTCAAAAACATAAGTATTTTATGCTGTAATACACAGTATTACTGAAACTAACAATATTATTTGCATATTTATAACAAGGTATAATGAAATCCCTATAATAAAACCAAAAGTTATGCTATAGATTTATTTACAAACAGTCCAGCAAAGAAGTATAAATACTTCTACATTTAAGGTTTAGGAAAACATAATTTACAAAATATTCAAATATATACAGTCATCTGAAAAACTGCCAATATTAAACTTTGATGCAGGCAAAGAATTGGCTGAGTCTATTCATTCTGTATTGAAAGAGGCGGCGGGTTTCGTGGGTCGCCTGTTATGTTCAGAAGCCATACGTATGTTATTTACAACGAGCCTGCTTCTCTCCAGCTAAACATGTCCGGAGCTTTGAGCGTGCTGTCCCAAAATGTCGTCTATCATTGTCAGATTGTTCAACCACTCTTCGTCGTTGCTGCTGCTGCTGTTCTTCATGAGGGAGTCGAGGAAGTCAGTGTCACTGCAGTTGGCGGGCACGATCGAGTTGCTGTGCTGGGACACAAAGTCATACTGCGGCAGCTCGGCAGCGGCGCTCATCCTGTTGAAGGCGTCGGGTGGCTGGCCCGTCGAAGGGTAGCTTGGCGGGCCAAGGCCCGAGGCAGGATTGAGCTGGTTAAAACTGGACGCTCCTTGTGGCATTGATTTCATAACATTCATAGCTGGCAACGGTCCTCTGGTTAAATTGTGTCTCAAGTTCTGATTACTCATCGAGCTTAAGCCCTGGCCAGGCTGCCCCATGCTCAGTTTCTGCATCTGCCTGACCTGGACGCCAGGAGCGATCTGATTAGGTGGCACCACAGCCTGCTGGGAGAACGGCTGCCCCGGTGCGCTCGGTCTCACGGTCTGCTTGGAGAAGAGGGTGTTACTGGAGAACTGCTGCATGCTGGTATCCATTTGGCTTTGATTTGGCATTCTCGGCACAGCGGTGGGCGTCCACATCTGGGCAGATGAGTTGGGGTAGACGTTAGGGATTCTTGGCATGCTCGGCTGCCTCACATGATGCTGCGTTGCAGAGTGATTTGCCAAGGAGCCGGCCATCGGCAGTCCCGGCCGCACGGCAGAGTGGCTATGTACTGTTTGGCACCCCGAGCTCATGCCCAGCGAGTTCTGGCTCGGACGCAGAGGGATGTTAAAGTCAGAATTAGGCGGAAAAATCCCCTGCTGCTTGCCAGGGTTGTGCGGAATCATCACCATCGTCCCGCTGCTCTGGCTGGCGGTGGCCGGGGCCATGCCGGAGCCCAAGGTGCTCTGGAGCATGGCTGGGTTGGATGGCAGCATGCGGTGGTTGGGCGGAGGAGCTGGCATCACCTGGCTGCAGTCAGTGGGAAGGGGCTGCTGCACGGCTGCGTACAAAGAGACACGTTAGCCGGGGCGCGCCTTCACCCCGCAAACACGGCGCAGCCTTAAAAGGCTGCTGCGCCACCTTCCTCTTTCATTACCCAGGCCTCTCCTCTGCCTGCTTTGTAACAGAGTTACTACTGGAGCGATAAGGGAATGGGTGAATCTCATGATATGTGATAAAATGTGAAATGCTTTTATTTCAGGGCAGAGAATCGTTAAGCGCCCTGTATTTAATCAGACTCCAGGCCCTGGCTCCTTAAGGCTTTTCATAGCACGCCATTTCCCTCCTTACCTTGAAACTGATTTATCTGCTGAGCCGCAAACAAACTCCTCTGCTCCGATGTTACTCCCAGCATGCTTTGTCTCTGCTTTTCCTGGAAAACAAGGGGCATCATAGTCAAGTTGCAGTCCCCTGACAAACGAGAACAGCAGCAGACACGTGAAGCGTAGCCTCTGTCATCATTAACAACCTCTCCCGTACGCACACACACGTAACCCTTCGATGAGAACTCAGCCCAGACGGTTCGTTTCAGACCGGACCTTAATTGCTCCCATGCCCCTTCTTGCAACGGTGCCCTGACAACAGCCCCGCGCCAGGAGGCACAGGCTCCAGCAGGGGCGGTGCAGGCGGCCCAAGGCCCATGGGGAGCTGGAGGAACACGGAGACCCTCGTGTTCACCGGCGTATGAGTGAAGTGCAGCAGAGCCGGAGGCTGCAGGAATCCTGGCGTCTCCCTAGTGCCTCTCGTGCTGACTATTTGGCCCTGTTCTCTGAAGTACCAGATCCAGGGGCGAGAGGTGCCCAAAAGCCCATTAGTGAACAGAATCTGTGGCAGCATAGTGGGGACATGCTGACAAACAGGAGACTGCTGGTGGCCATTACCCTGTCTGAAGCACGGCTCTGCTTGGGTGTACCCTCACCTTTTGTGCCAGTTGCCACTTCTAACCAGAACATAGCAGCGGGCCACAGGACACCCAGGATCCTTAGCAGGTCCTCCCTGAGCAAGGCATTGCTGCCTCTCTCCAAGTGACCTGACTGGTGTCTCCCACCATTTAACCCCAGAACCCGCCACCACACTCACATCCCTGCTGCGGGCAGCAGCTGGGGCCTCTCCATGGACGCTGGCTGAACTCCTGCTGTGTTAGAGCAGCACAGATAAGCTTGAAGCCAACCTTGATGACCAAGGGGGAAGAGTTGGTTTTGGAAGGGAGTTTGATCAATGAGCAGGATGCTACTCAGTTAAGGGTTTTACTGAGTTACTTCTCATCTCATTTCCCATCCAAAGAAATGAGCCTCCTTGACTCCAATCCAGCAGCATGCTCAGAAAGTCAGAGGCACACGCTCAGCAGTGCTCTACCCAATTCATCTGCGGGCTTCCCCCATCCCCACTCCTTCACACAGCATGTTACAAACCTCGTACAGGGACTTCTGTTGCTAGAGAGACCAGCAAAGTCCACGACAAACTGTAGTCTAACATCTGCTCTGGTAAATCCACAGGGAACCAGAGAGAAAGGCAAGCATGGAGAACATCTCTCCTGGGGCTGACTCACTCTCCAAGCCTCCCTTCTTTGCATCTTCCCTCCCAACTCTGCGGCTGACCAAGGATGACTGCAATGATACGGAGGTGACTGAATCCTTCCCTTGCAGACGAGCGGACAGGTCTGCACTCGGACTTCCTGAGCAGCACTTGGCCCTGGCCTCCCTTGGGCATGACATCCTGGACTCACCACAGCCCTAGTCTGACTCAACCCAGCAATTCCAGGGTCACTCCTTAGTGTTTGCTGACTGGTGATTTCTCCATTCCGGTTAGTCCTGTCCTTCCCAGTGAGGTGGACAGCACAGGAACCCACAGAGGCAGTCGGCGTCGTACCTGCATCAGCTGCCGTTTCATTATTTGCTGCTTCAGTAAATGGTTCCTCATCGTGTACCCATTCACTGTGGCTGGTGCCGGCACAGAGCCTCCGCTTGGGATGGAGCCCGGCTCCTGAAGTCTGGCAACAATTCCAGCATTTTGATCCTGCCAAGAAAGATGAAAAAAGAAAATTAATCTCATCAGGGAGATAACAACAGAAGCCCTTATCCTCTCTGCTGATGCCCTCTCTCCGGTCTTTGGCTGTCCCAAGGCCAAAACACCTTGTGGCTTCACAAGGACCCGCATGTCATGGTGAGGACAGCGAGGAGTGGGGGACTGCTCCGATTTCTGAGGATCAGCACCAGAAGCAGTGAGAGAAGCAAAAGGTTAATCCAAAATTCTTTGTGACTAGCCCAAGGCTACGGGACTGATTCACTACCATTACTGGAGTCACATGGCTGCCTGGCTGGCAGAAGGGATGTGAGTAAAGCGTCACATTTCCCACCAGTTCCCCAACTGTTACACTGAAAGACATAAGGGAAGAAAAGTTGCATCAGGGTAGGATTTGGCAATTGGATATAAAGGAGAAGCCTACAGTAAAAGAAAACAGCAAACTAAAGGCAGAAGAGGGGAAAAGGTGCCATCAGACCAGGGACCTGGAAAGACAGGGAAGGCTAGGACTGAAGTGGTTCTCATGAGTTCCATGATCGGACAAATGAGGAGCACTAATTGTGAAAGGAGAGGAGAACATGCAAAAATGCAGGGTCAGGTCATGGCCGGGCACAAATCAGTAATGCGGTGGGCCTGACTCCGGGCTGGTGCAGACTGGCCTCGCTGCAAGTCCTCAGTGAAAGATCTGAGTTGACTTTCACCAGCTGAGGGCTTGCATCCAAAGAAAGAGCATTGTGGGGAGAAGAGAAAATAAAATTCACAAGAACACGATGAAGACACAACCCAAAAGGGAAAAAGAATTAAAAAAATACTGAAGTCTAAACATCATCGGAGCTGGCAGGTAGTCAGGGAAATAGAAGAGAACAATGAGGGAAGAAGTCAAGGCCTCACCGAGGACGAGATTCTGCAAGTTCTGTACCCAGGAACAGCAGTACCAGTGTATTCCCCTTTCTCCATTTTCACATCCAGCTTCTACATTATTTATGATGTTTTGTTATTATTGGCAGGGAAAAGTATGTATATTATATCCAGCATCCTTAGCTGGGCCATGCTTCCTTTGTTTTCAGAATGGAAGCCCACATCCTTTGTTTGAGAATCAATGTTATCAGGAGATAAGCAAGAAGAAAATGGTTGTTGCCTTTTGACATCTGACAATTAGAAGCATGCTCAGATGGAGAAAACAGGATACGAGCCGTGTTCAGAGGGGCCAGAAGAAAGCCTTGGAAGGCATTTGTCACCAGGCAAGCTCCTTGGGCCTGGGGCACCTTTCCACGGCAGCTTCACCATGAGGAATCACCCAAGTCCTTCCAAGATATTCTTTGTAAGAGCGATTACCAAGAAGGTCACTGAAATTACTCATTTTTATGTGCCTCCTTTTGTTGTAGCACTTCGGTCTATTATGCAAAAGCACAATTGATGAAATGTAAATGCCTGCTAGATAATTTACTAAAAGACACAAACCTGCAGCTCATCACTGCTCTCATTATCATTCCTATTCATGGGCAGTCTCATAAGACTAGGCTTTATTACTGGTGCTTTGCTTACAATTCTGCCGGACATCTCTCCTCCTCCCCCTTCCCTCCTACCTGTTTTACTCCCTCTCTCCCACAGAAAAAGAGGGAGGGGACGGAAAAAAGTAAATACGATGTACTACAGATGTAAATATGAAAGTTCATGTAAAGCGAGTACTCTGCTTTCATGTCAGACAGGATTCTGCAGCCATAGTTAAGCTTTGAATAATGCAGATTGCCTCTAGGGGAATATTTGAAAGTGCAGGGATTCAGTTTGTGTACTCTGCACATGAAAGACACTGAAATGTTCATACCACCAAAATCCTTGCCATCTATCCAATTTCCTCCAAACTTGTCTCGTTGCGTGCAGAGGGTCTGTGCTTACTGAAGCAAATGAGTTTAGTGCAAGGACAATCATTCTGATGTCTTGCTCAGGGCTATTGCATTAACAAGTCATAACATTAAAGTCTCTTTTCCTAATCATGTCCACCTCATTCTAATTTCTCCTAAGCATCATCAAGAAAGTAATGTTGATTTTTCCATATTATTAATGGTAAAGAAGTGTAAATCACATTACTAATTGCAGCTCTTGTGCTGTGGCAGTACAACAGCTTAATTATATGGGACTTTCTGCAAGCACCCTATAGCAATAATGACAATCAGCAAAGTTAATTTGCAAATACACAGAATGGGTTGCTGCGTTTTTTCAGAGCAAAGTTGTATAACATTTAATTAGCCAGTAAAGAAACAATCTATAGATATAAATTTTGCTTTTGGGGAAATTAGGACAAAATAGCATAGACGGGGCAACAAGGAACAAAGTCAAAATCTTGCGTTCTATAGTTCACATTTAGGTTAAGCCAAAAAAATTTAAAAAAAAAAAGAAAAAGGAGAAAGTTCTCTCTTTTCACCACTAGTGGGAACTACTGTATTCCCTTACAATAAAAAATAACCACTTAAACCTCATGACTAAGAATAGCTCTGGTGTAGTCTAAAGGACACTGCTATCTGTACCGAAGGTTAATGAACTTTAAACATTTTTCCTTTTCATCACTCCCCAAGAAAAATCACTTTCCTTCCCATAGTAAGGCCAAGCCAAACAAGCCATAATCTTAACCTGTCTTGGACTATCCTGTTTTAAAATCCAGGAAGACAGCAAGGAGAAGGAGATTCCAGTGTCGAAGTCAGGAACGATGGAAGCGGCTGTTCGCACCCAAAGGCTCGTGCGGCAGAGCCAGCTGCCGGCGACACTGGAGGACACAGGCAGCTACAGGGGATTCTTATTCCTCAACTTTTAAAGAAATGCGTTTGCATGTAGGTATCAGGCTTTTTGCCATTTTTCCCTCCAAAAACTCATATTGAAACACTAAATGGGCAGAATCCCTAGCCAAACGGCACGCCACGCAGACCTGGAGTTGGAGGCCATGTGTTTCTGTTGCTGGGCAAACTGTCGCACAGTGGGCCTGGAGCTCCAGGCCCAGCCCCCTGGGCTTTCCAATGTGGCAATTTTGGTTCAAAAAGGCACGGGGGCTTGCATCATGCTTTTGACTTAGTATCTCACGCACCGGTTTCAAGAGCAAGGAGGAAAGACTCAGGTTGCAGGTTTGCAGGAACGCGCACTGTTTGTGTCCGCATCCAGCCACTGGCTGTCACTGTAAAAGCTGCTGCACAGCCCAGTGAAACCAGTCCCTCCCAGCCGGTGCCCAAGGGCGGGCTGTTCAGGCTGGGCAAACACATCTGCTGATTGCTGCGCCCAACCCTACCGAGCCGGGGTCTGGTCCAGCAAAACTTTGGGGCGTGCACTTAATGCAACGTGTGCAAACAGTCCCACCGAGACCTACCGCGTGTATTTATGAGTCTGCATCCTTCTAAAAATCCACCGACGAGCTCGACCTGCCCAGCCCCATCATCTGATCACACAGGAGATGCACAACTGCAGTAAATAAGCGTGGAGATGAATTGCTCTACGTGAACACAGCTGATAAACGCCAGTCCTCAGCACTTAGTTATATATCCAGTAATCACTTTGTGGCTTCACTTAAGCGAGAATGAAGAAATTTATGGCCCCTAATTCCTCTGAATCCTCATTAACAAACAGTCCAAAAAGAATTTAAAAGCAAGCCTTTCTGAGGATCTGAGCTAGAGCTTTAATCGCTCTTTGGCAAATATGTAGAAATCCCTCTAATCTTTAATAAAGAGCATTCATTGTTTTTGAGGACTCTGTGAAAACACTAAACTCATTTATCATTCTTAAACTTTCCCATCTGCTCTTACGGTGCAACTCCAAAGAATATAACAAAGAAATGTACATGTTAAATTATATTGACTTAGGCCCAGAGCTATTGGAGATGTACAATTCATTTCAGCGAGGGCATGAAGGGGACTGCAGGCTGCTAGACAGAGTCATTTGTCCAGTGCTGAAAAGACAGTTATCTGCACCAAAATGGCTCTTGGAAAGGCACATTTGCTTTATAAGAAATAAGCTGCCAGGTGAGACCATTCAGCATGATGTTACAGCCCCAGACAATAAAACTAAGCCATGAATTTCAATAGTTAACAGATGGACTAATTAGAGACTGAATTCTTTGTGGTTCTAACAGATAACCGGGTCACAGCAAGGTTACTGAGAGAGAGATGGGCAGCTTTGCAAATTTCGGTAGATATTTGCAGAGTCGGGGAAGAACTGCACTTCCTAACTGAAAGCATTAGCAGCGGCAGAAGAATGGAAACGTGGCTAATTGAAAATGCATATAGTACCTGCATTGAAAAAGTTCCTGCCATTGCAAAAGGCGCTGCTGATTTGAGAAATAGTCCCTCCACTTTCAATGGGGCATCCAGCCGAATCCAGTAATTACAGGAGGGTTGTCGAGATGAGCCACGGCACCCCAGCAGAAAAGGGAAAGACCAAAGGAAATGGGTCGCTCAGGGTAGATGTTTGCGGTACATACGAGAAAGGGACAAACTGCTTTTTCCACCAGATTTTTTTTGTAGCCAATGACAACTTAGCTTGAAGTATTTACCGAGACATCACACAGTGAAAAAAAAAAAAAAAAGGAACCAGAAAGGAAAAACATGGCTACAGGTCTTGATGGGAGCCGGTGCTACCAATCCACTCCGAGGCCCCAGCTGCTCGGCCAGGGATTCTAGGTGGGGATCCACAGCAGGTACAGCTATTCCCTAGGGGTGGGGTGAAGTTTCATTAACCGAGTTTTGTTCTGTATTTTAAGAACATCTGTTACGTACGGGGAGTTCTGTACTCTGCTGAGGAAATGCAAATACTAGTTTCAAACTCATGCCTCTGCATTTCCCTCCGCTCCCGCCTGCCTGCCGGTGCATGGGCTCCGGTCTCGGAGGTGCGCTCCGTCTCCTTGGTCAGGCTTTTGTGCCTGGGCAGCACTTTGCTCTGAAGTCCAGGACTAAGACTCCTAGGCACAACAACTCCACAAACACTACAAACTAAGCAATTAAAACACTAACAGTATT